CACACACACACACACACACACACACACACACACACACACACACACACACACACACACACACACACACAGTAGACTCTCAACCGCTCATTAGTTCTCAGATGGCAGATGTACCTGAGACTCCAGAGAAAGAGAGAGAACATGGAAAGCTGGCCCAGAGGACAAGCTTTCTGGGTCGGTTGGTCGACCAGTTTTCTTGGTCAGTTGGTTGGTCAGTCGGTCAGCCAGTCAGTCCGACGGTGACCGGCGGGTCAGCAGGTTGGTGGGCGAGCAGGCTGGCGGGTGGGGTCCCTTGGCCATAAAGAAGGGAAGCATGCGGTGAGGAATTATTTTTTGAAACTACACTGTTTCTTCTCTCAAATTCTTTTTGCCTTTCACTACCTTCCTACCACTACTCCGAAGACTATACAGAGGGGAAACTACACTGTTCTTCTCTCAAATTCTTTTTGCCTTTCACTACCTTCCTACCACTACTCCTAAGACTATATATAGGGGACCCCTGCAAGCATAGGACCTCGCAAACGAGGTAAATCATGTTGCCCTCCGCCCCAACAGCGGTAGTCAGAGATGGGGTGGGGCCGCCGGTGGGGGTCCGGCTAACGCAAAGACCGAGCATTTGCCAGTAGCTGCGCCTCCCTTTCTCATCATCCCCCACCCCTCATCGAGTAGCAGCAGAGGCTATGGCCAACACTCTAACACACACCACACACAACCCACTCGCGTTCGCCATCACACCCGTGTTGGTAATAGACCCCGCTAATACCGACCAGGGGTATCCAGAGGACTACCGCAGTCCGTTGGCACTAAGTGCGCCGCAGGCGGTCATGGGGCTTGAACCCACAACTTACCTGAATGCCACTTGCGTGCATAACCAACTGAGCTAGGCCGCTGGGTCGGTGAGGAATTATTGTAAGGGACGCTGGACCCAGTTTCTTTTATTTATTAAAAAAAAGAGAAAAAAAAGTGTGAAGAGTTGCTGAAGTGGGGAGACAAAAGTGCGTGCCCTGCTCGCTGGGGCCTGCGCAACCTGGGTAGGCCCAACCTGACCACAACCCCGAGCCAAACAGTGTGGCACCAAGGATAAAAGGTTGGGGTACTGGTCGTTTAACAGGAATCTCTTTCTCACAAGAGCAGTAGTAATCTGGGTGGGACTGGCCACAACTTCCTTTTTCCCGCCTCTGGGGCCAGGCAACATCGCACCAAGAGTCCGGCTCACCACACCAGCTGCCCTCTGTTGTAGGAGCCCCTGGTGTCACTATTCTGCCCTTGATACCCACTGTGCTCTTCCCAAACACCCTCGCCCTCTCCTGCAACCGTCCCCATTGCTTGTCCCGTTACCCCTAGGGCACTTGCCACCCGTCCTGAGGCTGCAGCTCCTGGTGACCCCCAAGCCCAACCCCTAAACGTCATCCATCAACCCAGGTACTCCACCAGGGCCGGGATGTCTGGTGGTGAGAAGGAAGCACCTACGCAAGAAAATTATCACAGTGGGGGTGGGGGGGGAGGGTAGGGCGGGCAGCAGTTGTGCATGCTTGCTTTTCATATCTAGCCGTTGTGGTCATCTTTGCAGAGCCACAAGGGTCTAGCAGTGACCCCAGTTTGATGGCTATTGTCTTGGCAGAACCTATCCTGCTCCAAGCCTATAACCAAATATAGCATACCAGCATCCCACAACAGGAATTGGTCTGGTGAAAAGTCTTCGGTGGAGCTGGAAGCTAGGTGGAGCGAAGCTTCATGCACGCACAACATGCGTGTCTACGTGTGTGCATGCCACAGAGAGAGAGAGAGAGAGAGAGAGAAGAGAGAGAGAAGAGAGAGAGAGAAAGAGAGGAAGTGGGGGGTTGTTGGTCTTGCACTCCAGTCAGGTTTGACAGTCCAAAGCTTGGCTTGGGATGGTAGTTTAAGCAACATACCGCCCACATGTCGAGAATCACATCAATCGGAATGTCATAGCCTTCAGGATACGCCGCAAAATCAAGAAAAAGGTCTTGCAGGCGATCATCGAGCTCATCCAGGGCGTCGTAACTGTAAGCGAGACGCTGCAAAACCTCATTGCTATGGCCTCCACTAAGACTCTTGGACTCAGAGAGTTTTTTCTTCGCAACGCACCACTCCGTGTGCGGCTGAAGATACAAGCTTGCACCCACCACCTTGATTGCCAAAGGCAGCCCCTTGCACTCATTGCAGATATCTTCAACTTCCTTGATTAGATGCTCCTTAGGAGCACGAGAACCAAAAGCATGCAAACAGAAGAGCTCAAGTGCATCTTTCGGCTCCAGTTCGGACATTCGATACGGAAAATCGATATCTCGATGCTTCAGCACATCCTCGTTTCTTGTGGTGATCAAAATCCTACTCCCGACTTTCACATCAACAACATCCAACAATTTGATGTGGTTTTCACTCCACACGTCATCCAAGATAAGCAGCGCTCTCCGCTCCGTCAATTTTTTCCTCAGCTCCGTCAGAGCATCACCACCATTATTGAATGGACAAGGTCCCTTGACCAATCTCCTCCACAAATTCTTTTGCAGTGTCAAAAGGTCAGGATGTTTTCCGACTGTAAGCCAGAATACACCTCCGTCAAAATGCCTGCATCAAAGATTAACCCACAGTCAAAATGCTTGCACCAAAGATTAACCCACGGTCAAAATGCTTGCATCAAAGATTTACTCATCGCCCACTCGACATAGACATCATGCACATCTTGCTTAACCGATCAGACGTTAAAATGAGTTCTGAAATCGTGATCGACCTCAGTTGATTGAGATTAGCAGATTCGGAACAGTTGACTCGTACTACCATCTTCACCCAATACAATGTACGGTCATTACTGCTGTATCCAGACTCAAAGTTGCCGCAAATACAGCTATCATAACCGTACGTTGTTTTTGGGTGAAGACGCTGAATGATCCAACTACATACAGTACATGAGCTGATTGATCTTAGACATTAGCTAAGTCATCATGCTCCAACATACAAAGTGATGGACCAATCCGACTGTTTAACTAAAACAAGAAGTATTGCGATGGTCCCAACAGATGGTGATGCAAAGTGATTTCAGTTCAATGCTCTGAATGTCAAAGTGAAGAGATTCAACCAAGCGCGGGTAAAC